GGGAAGTTCAGAGAAAGGCAGTCACTTGATTGAAGCCAGGCAGATTTTGAAGGGTGGGGCAAGGATGAGAACCTGGTCCTCCTGACTGCGGCCTCTTGCTTGAGGTAACCCTCCTGCCCTCCCAGTTCAGGACAAGGAAGAGAAACTTGGACTACTTTTCTTTTCTCCCCGCCCAAGGTGAGAATCGGAAAGAACGGAGTTGGCATTTTTATACTAAGAGATGGTGGAGAGACAAGTCAGGCACAGACCAAGGTCAAGGAGCCTGATCATGCCTCAAAGGTCCCCACTCATGGCCAGGAACTTCCGAGATTCCAACCTTCATAAGCTCATCAACAAGCCTTCGTGGCCCCAGCATCTTATCCGCTCTTCACAACAGGCAGGTGCCATAGACGTAATCATTTGGCCCATTTTATAGATGAGGAAACTGAGGCTTAGAACTTAACAGAGAGCCTGACACAGAAGACTCATCACAATTTTGTGAGCACAGGGCTAGCTGGGTCAGAGGGACTGAACGCTTAGCTCACGGGTACCCAGCTCATGAGGACAGGAATGGGTCTCAGCCCTGGCCAGTTTGCTCAGATCTAGGTTTACTGAATGAGGGGGTGCGCGGGGAGGGGGCAAAAATCCCAACTCTGCTGCTTTCTAGCTGTGCTCTGGAGCAAGTGACTTCTCACCTCAAGTTTCTCGCCTACAAAATAGAGAAAAGAGACTCCATAGGGTTGTCATGGGGATTCGTTAATATCTGAGAAGCACAGCCTGGCGCGGAGGAAGTGCTCCCTGGCGCGGAGGAAGTGCTCCCTGAAGGTCAATTCTTTTTGCCCTTGTGGTTATCAGAAAACACTTCAAACATCAAAGAATAAGATATGTAAACCAACAGTGATGGCCATCTATGGGCCAGAAACAACAGACAGGAAATATAAGAAGATCAATTGGCTGACAATTATGAGCAAACAGGGTAAGACTGTCTCTCCAAGTCTTTCTCTCTTTTTAAAATTAATTGGTTAATTAATTTTAAAGTTGACAGTTAAAAACATGTATATACTTACGGTATATAACATGATGTTTTGATATATGTATACATTATTCTCCAAATCTTTTAAAGCACACATAATTATAAATGTCTGTCTTAGTCCATTTGGGCTGCTGGAACAAAATATCATAGACTGGGCGGTTTATAAACAACAGAAATTTATTTCTCTCAGTTGTGGAGGCTGGGAAGTCCAAAATCAAGGTGAATTGGATTCTGGTCCTTCCATTTCCCAGCCGTGTGACTGTGGCCTAGTTATTCAGTCTCTCTGAGCCTCCGTCCCATCACTTGTAAAATGGGAAAAAATCACCCCTCTCTAAAATTATCTTTAGAGAATCGTTAGTGTTCAGAGTGGATTGCAGGTGAGCAGGCAGTCACAATTTAAGACCCTTGGTATCTATTGCCAAAATGCTTGAATTGGAGTGCAACTCTTCACCATCCCCAGCAACACTGCCACTGCTATAGTCTGAAGGTTTGTGTTTTATGAGATTCAGTGTTCTATGAGGGTTCCTGGTTCGTGGATGGCTGCCTTTTCCCTGTGTCGTCACATGGCAGAAAGGGCAAGGGAGCTCTCTGGGGCTTCTTTTATACGGACACTAAGCTTATTCACGAGGGCTCCACCCTCATCATCTAATCACCTCCCAAAGTCCCCACCTCCAAATACCATCATCTTAGGGGGTTATGATTTCAACATATGAGTTTTGGGGGACACAAAACTTCAGACTACAGCAGTGGCAACGTTGCTGGGCTTGGTGAAGAGTTGCACTTCAATTCAAACATTTGGCAGTAGATACCAAGAGCCTTAAAATTATGACTGCCTGCTAACCTACAATCCCACTTCTGGAAACTAACGATTCTCTAATGATAATCTCAGAGAGGGGTGATTTTTTTCCCCATTTTACAAGTGATGGGATGGAGGCTCAGAGAGGCCAAATAACTAGGCCACAGTCACACAGCTGGGAAATGGAAGGACCAGAATCCAACCACATCTGACTGCAAAGCTGTGCTCTCCACAGTTACACTTTATGAGGACAGTCCTGCAAATATAAGGATATACAGAAGTATAAGGGTTCGACATCCTGATGTGCAGTGCCATAGTTGCTCTTGGAAAATTCCAAAGTATCCATGAAAAAGCAACTTGAACTAACAGATGAATTTAGCAAGGTCACAGCATACAAAGTCAATACATAAACATCGATTTAACTTCTATACTCCAAAAATGAACGATTGGAACTTAAAAAATTTTTAAAGCGCAATTTACAAAGTATCAAAAACACATGAAATACTTAGAGATAAATCTAGTAAAATATGTGCAAGAGCTGCATACTGAAAACTATCAAACTATAAATCACTGAGAGATATCAAAGAAAACCTAAACAGAAAAATATACTGTGTTCATGGATTGGAAGACTCAATATACTTGAGATGTCAGTTCTCCTTGAATTGATCCAAAAATTCAATGCAATAGCATTTAAAATCCCAATCAGCCTAGAAATTGATAAATTAAGATTCATATAAAAAGGCCAAGGAACTAGAATAGCCAAAACAATTTTGAAAAAGAAGAACAAACTGGAGGACTGTGTTACTTGATTTTAGGACTTCTTATAAGGCTGCAGTAATCAAGATAATGTGGGACTAGCAAAAGGGTAGACCCACAGATCAATGGAACAGATTAGAATCTGTAGAAGCAGATCCACAGATATATGGCCAATTATGTTTTTTTGTTTTTTGTTTTGTTTTGTTTTGTTTTTCGAGATGGAGTCTAGCTCTGTCACCCAGGCTGGAGTGCGTGCAGTAGCACGATCTTGGCTCACTGCAACCTCTGCCTCCCAGGTTCAAGAAATTCTCCTACCTCAGTTTCCTGAGTATCTGGCAACTGCCACCACACCTGGCTAATTTTTGTATTTTTAGTAGAGACGGGGTTTCACTATGTTGGCCAGGCTGGTCTCGAACTCCTGACCTCAGATGATCCACCTCCCAAAGTGCTGAGATTACAGATGTGAGCCACCACGCCCAGCTGACCAATTGATTTTTGACAAAGTTCCAAAGGCAATTCAATGGAGAAAGAACAGTCTTTTCAGCAAATGGTGTTGAAACAGTTACACATACAAATGCAAAAAAAAAAAAAAAAAAGTACCTCAACCCCATCTCATACTATATATTAAAAAACACTTGAAATTAACCATAGACCTAAATATATAAAACCTAAAACTCTAAAACTTCTTGAAGAAAACACAGGAGAGCATTCTTTGTGACTTTGGGTTAGGCGAAGATTTCTTAGGGCGCAAAAAGCACAAACTAGAAAAGAAAAAAAATTGATAAATAGGACTTCATCAAATTTTAAAATTTTGCTTTTCAAAAGATGTTTTTAAGGTGCCTGTAATCCCAGCACTCTGGGAGGCCAAGGCTGATGAACCACTTGAGCCCAGGAGTTCGAGACCCGCGTGGGCAACCTGGTGAAACACCTTTTCTACACAAATGTAGCCGGGTGTGGTGGCAAGTGCCTTAGTTCCAACTACTCAGGAGGCTGAGGTGGGAGGGTTGCAGGAGCCCAGGAAATCAAGGCTGCAGTGAGCCAATTGCTCCACTGCACTCCAGCCTGGGCAATGGAGTGAAACCTGGTCTCAAAAAAACAAAACAAAACAAAACACATTATTATTATTTATTTATTTATTTATTTTTGAGACTGAGTCTCGCTCTGTCGGCAGGCTGGAGTACAGTGGCGATCTTGGCTCACTGCAACCTCTGACTCCCAGGTTCAAGCAATTCTCCTGCCTCAGCCTCCTGAGTAGCTGGGACTACAGGCGCCTGCCACCAAGCCTGGCTAATTTTTATGTTTTTAGTAGAGACGAGGTTTCACCGTGTTGGCCAGGATGGTCTTGATCTCCTGACCTCATGATCTGCCCACCTCGGCCTCCCAAAGTGCTGGGATTCCAGGCGTAAGCCACCGCGCCCGGCCAACAAAACACATTATTAAGGGAATGAAAAGACAAGTCACAGGCTGGAGAAAATATTTGCAAAATACAGATTTGATAGAAGACTTGTAGCCCAAATATATAAAGTACTCTCACAGTTCAGTAATAAGAAAATTAACAATCCAAGTTTTAAAATGGGCAAAAGAGTTGAACACATACTTCATCAAAAAAGAGATGTGAATAAGGACATAAAAAAAATGCTTGACATCATTAATCATTAGATAAATGCACATTAAAACCACAATGAGATAACACTACATACTATTAGAATGGCTAAAAAATTCTTTAAATGCTGACAATGCTAAGTGTTGGTGAAGATGTGGAGCAACTGGAACTCTCATTACATGGCTGGTACAGCCGTTTTGAAAGCAGTTTTGAAAGCAGTTTGGCAGTGTCTTACCAAGTTAATATGCACTTACCCATATGACCCAGCAATGCCACTGCTAGAAAATAAAATCTATCCACACAAAGACCCACAGGCAAATATAGCAGCCTAATCCATCATTGCTGAAACTAGAAACAACCCAAAAATCCACGATTTGAGATACAGCCACACAATGGAATGCTGCTCAGCCATGATAGAAATAATGTATTAATACACACAAACAACATGGATGGATCTCAAAGGTATTATACAAGTGAAAGAAAGAAGCCAGGCACAGGCCAGGCACAGTGGCTCATGCCTGAAATCCCAGCACTTTAGGAGGCCAAGGTGGGTGGATCACTTGAGGCCAGGAGTTTGAGACCAGCCTGGGCAACATGGAGAAAACCCGTCTCTACTAAAAGTACAAAGATTAGCCAGGTGTGGTGGCGCACGCCTGTAATCCCAGCTACTGAGGTGGTTGAGGCACGAGAATTGCTTGAACTCATGAGATGGAGGTTGCAGTGAGCCGAGATCACACCACTGCACTCCAGCCTGGGTGACAGGGCGAGACTCTATCTCAAAAAATAATAACTTTAAAAAAAGAAAAGAAAGAAAGAAGCCAGACACAAAAGGCTACATTTAGTGTGATTCCATTTATTCAACTTTCTAGAAAAGGCAAAGCTATAGAAATCAGGTCAGCGATTGCCAGGTGCTGGGGCTGGGAAAAGATAAACTGCAAAGGGGTGTAAAGGAACTTTCTATGGTGTTGGAAATACTCTACGTCTTGATCATAGTGGCAGACACAACTGTATATGTTTGTGAAACTCATAAAATGGTACAATTAAAAAGTGTGAATTTTATTTTACATAAATCATCCCTCAGTAAAACTGAAAAAACAACAAATGTGGTCAGCCAAACAAAACATTCATTTGACAACAAAAATTTATTGAGCATCTACTATGTGCCATCAACAAAATGGACAAGGGTCCTCCTCCCATAGAGCTTCGGTCCCTCTGTAATGTCTGTGTGCATGAGTCTCAGTCAGTATGTTTATTGATTTCATGGGTTGAAATCTCCCTAACTTGTCTGCTTTTGTTTGCTCTCTGGCATCTTTAAATAGTTGTTTTAAAATTTCATCCACAGTTGACCATTGTTGTCTGTCAGAGGATTAGTCTGATACAATCTATTCCACTAAGACTAGAACTAGGACTGGGGTGAGATGAGGACATTGATGCTGAGAAAACTGTGATGACTTTGGAGATGTGACAAATAACCCCAACAATAAGCATATATGATTCCAGAGTAATTTTAATATTCAGCTCTTTTAGTATTTCATAACATGCCTGCAATCCTGATTACACACAGTGTTGTTAGGAAATGGAAGATAATCAGTGTGTTCCACATTTTAATAAATATGCATGTATGCATTTATTTATTTATTATTTCACTCAACAAACATGAGCTGGGACAGGGCCAGTGCAAAATGACAATTTAGAGCTCCTTGTTCAAAGATCATGAAAAAAGCGCTGTTAAAGGTTCTTCTTTCTTCCATGGTCTTTCTCTTGACTTCTTATGATGCTATTCATTTGCTATTTGATGTTCTAAGTAAAGAAAAGAATAAAATTTTTTTTTTTACTGGCATGAATTTATTGTTCAGCTTTATATTGTGAAATTCCAGTTTTCAATGCAAAAGAGCAAGCATTTAATGCCTTATCAAAATCACTGAAATTAACAGTTTGTATTATGTGGCTCAACCCTATGGGGGTGCCTTAAGTGGCCACAAGAGACAAACGAGCCAGACACAAGAAGGCTGAAAGGAGAAGCGGAACACACACACACACACACACCCATACATACACCCACACACACACACACAAACACACCTGACACAGAGCCAGCTGCTGGAGCATTCCTGGGTACAGGGATACTCTCTCTGGTATGGGGGATACTAGCGGGGAGAGGACAGAAGTTCACAAGTGCCTTACCCTGCCGCATGGGACACACAGGCTTGTTTGAGTCTGAGGGCAGCTGGGTTCACCCTCAGCCACTGACTGGACTGACAAGACCTGCCCTGGCTAGGGCGGGGTCTGGGGAAGCTGAGCCAAGCCTGCCTCTTCCCACAGCCTATTCTCCAACCCACTGCAGACAGGGATCCTTGGGAATCTTTAATGCTCCAGGCCAACATGCCCTGGGGACCTGGATCGGGGTGGGCCAAAGGCTGGACCTTGTTGAGACACAGCCTCCAGCTGGCCACTCACCAGATGCACTGTGGTGCTTAACCCTGGGCCATGCCCCACTGAAAGATGCCACCAAGTGTGCATGCCTGCCCCTAATCCTCTGCGTGCCTGCTGAGTGGAGGACAGCTGCAGTCATGGGCAGGGGCAGGTGGGTGGAGGTGGAGGGATGGGTATCTGACCCACCCTGGGGAGGTGATGGAAGGCAGGACTGTGCTAGAGCTGAGGCTCCAAGTCCCTAAAGCACGCTCAGGGGTCCCATCAGACTTCACTTACAAAACACAAATTCAAAAAAAATTATTAAAAATTTCAAGACAACGATGGTGACATCACACGTGGTGACCAAGGCCCCATCTTTCTAGGGCCTTATGTGATGGCACTGGTCACAAGCCCGTGAAGCCAGCCCTGGGTGATGCCCACCCAGTGATGAATCAGCCACAATTCCTGCCCTGTGTTTATGTAATCAGGCAACAAGCATGTGTCAGGCACTTAGGCTAGGCACCGAAGACAGAGGAGAGACCACGAGGGAAGGTGTCCCTACTCTTGGAAAGCTCACAGCCTGGCTACAAGGCAGGCTGACCTCTGCTTGGTAGCCAGGAACAATGGGAGCCGAGGGGCAGGGGCTGCCAGCCCAGCCTCAGGGGTCCAGGGAGGCTCCAGGGAAAAGCAGAATTCATGGGGGATCTGGATAAGGGGATCTGGGTGAAGATATGGGGCAAGAACAAACAGTCCAGGCAAAAATTGGGTGTGCCAAAGCCCCAGGCTGGAAAGGACTTGGCATTTCGAGATACTGAAAGGAATGCCTCATTATTCCGAGTGATAAGCACTGTGCCATCCCACAGAAACGTCCACGCTGAATTTTTCACTGTAATATCAGCCTCCTGTTTATTACTGTGACATGAAGTGCAGTTGCCTGATGACCCACCTGGGACACTCTGTCTGTGAGTCTGGTGGGCGGTTATTAGAGAAAGTACAAGTAGTCCCTGACTCTGTCTAGTTTCATTTATAGCATGGTCTGTCGGCTTAAAGAGAACACGTGATCCCCCCACAGTGGCTCTGCCTGCCGGGTTCGGTCAGGGACCCTGCTGCCCACCAGATGCCCACGTTAGGACCCAGGATTCTGCCCCCACTCATGGGCCCCCCTCCCCCACTCTGCACACCAGTTGAGCTGTAGCCTAGGCCTCCTCCCACCCCTATCTCTGTGTGGTTGCTGCAAAGACCAGAGATTCTCCTGTGGTGATATTTACAGCTTTAAATACTTCACGTGACAGTGAGGCTTGTGGCTTGTACGGGACACCTAAGCTCTTCTTGTATCTGTCCGTGCTGTCTTCCTTTGTTGCAACTTGGCTCTGACCTGGCATTGAAACATGGATTAGTCTTTTGTACTGTTTGCAGGTTGTATAACAACAGTACAGTGTGAATAGAATAAAATAAATGCTTGCAAGCTAAAAAGAAGAAGAAAGAAAGAACCTCATGCCCAGCCCCCCCAGGGCAGGCAGGAAGAAATCCTCCGCCCAGAAGCACCTTTTCAAGCCCCAGAACTCCCTGTGATTGGACCAGCTGGGGTCACGTGCCCATCTCTGACCCAATCAGTCGTGTGGCCAGGGGCAGTCAGTATATTGACTGGCAGAGAGTAGGGTGGGTCCCCAGGTGGGTCCCCCTCAAAGCAAGAGGATGGACGATTGGGGAGCTATGGTTTCCTAAAAACAAATTACGGGGCTAGTTCCAAAAAAGGGGTTGAATGGGTCAGCCAGAACTTCCTCAAAAGTCAGCTATCCCCGTCCTTTCCTATTGATGCTAATTTCCAGCCACATGGCTGGTGTAGTGGAGAGAACACGGCTAGTCTGAGACAGACCTGACTGCTAGTTCTGGTTTCTCTCCTCTACTGTCTGTGGGTCTCTGGGCTACAACTCCCCGAGCCTAAGATCCCTCCTTTATAAAAAATGTCGGTGAGAATACACAGCAAGCTGTGAGGATTAAATGCAGGGAAAGTGCCTGAAATGCAGTAAGTGCTCAATCAATGCTAATTAGCAGCTACACAAACAGTGTCTTGCACCCACACAATTACACAGCGTTTGAAAATGCTGATTCACTTTTCTGGAATGCACTTCTCTCTGTTATCAGCACATCCTCCCAAACCCCATTCTTCCCCACCCCACCCACCCTGGGTGCCTCCTCTGTGCGCTGTTATAGCAGACTGGTTAAAAACGTGCCATTTGGACCGGGCACAGTGGCTCACGCCTGTAATCCCAGCGCTTTGGGAGGCCAAGGTGGGTGGATCACCTGAGGTCAGGAGTTTGAGACCAGCCTGGCCAACATGGCAAAACCCTGTCTCTACTAAAAATACAAAAAACTAGCTAGGGGTGGTGGTGGGCACCTATAATCCCAGCTACTTGGGAGGCTGAGGAAAGAGAATTGCTTGAACCCGGGGAGGCAGAGGTTACACCACTGTACTCCAGCCTGGGCGAAAGAGTGAGACTGCCTCAAAACAACAAAACAAAACAAAACAAAACAAAAAAACCACACATTTGGAGTCAGCCAGCACTGAGTTCAAATCCACATCACCTCTTTGAGCTCCAAGGTTTTCTTTTGTAAAACGGGCACAGCACTATTGATCTAGAGGTTGTTAGGAGGATTGAGTTAGCATTCAGGCAAAGTGCCGACACATAGAGTAGGTACTCAGTGAAGATGAGCCTTTGTTACTGTGTATCCCACCATTCTGTAAGTGCCTTGTCTATGCCAGCCTCTTAGGCTAGAATGGCAGCTTCTAGATGGCAGGGGCTCTGCTGGAGTTACAGCTTCGTTTCACTTTCACCCATGACCCTACTTCACGCCCAAGCTGGGCCTGGTGTCAACCAGGTGCCCTGGAAATGCTTACAGGATGCCTGGCTGAAAGCCGCCTCCCGCTGCAGGAACACTGCCTGGCTTCTGTGAAGAGGGTAAGGTAGGCCCGTTTCTTCCTTCCCGCTCACGCCCATCTCCCTCGCCAGCTGCTGTGACTGTTCTGCACTAGGATGGGGATGGCAGGGAGAAGGGAGGGGAGGTAAACAGGGGCAGGAGAGGTTCCACTTGATGCGGACTGCCTGACGCTGTCCTCTGCTCGCAAGCTTAAAGCTGACTCGTGTGAGTGCTTTTGTGAGTTCTTCAGAGACCCCCCCAGTGCTAGGCCCTCAATGTGGGTGATGTCATCTCTTGAGTCTCATGGCTTCCTCTATCGATAGCCTTTCGGAATCAGCTGCCCCCTCCAGCTTCCAACTGCTGAGAGCTCACCACCTCCTGGGGAGGGGGCCTTTTGGACAGACCTCGGATGGTCGCCTTCCAGCCCTTTTGCCCCGTGGCCCCCATCTAATCCATGGGAAATGTCCATGTATGCCTTCCCCAAGAAACTCGAGATGGTGGCCAATCCCAATGCACCCACAACCTCTCTTCACGTCTGCTGTCAGGGCAGTCAGTGAAATCACTAAGATAGTCTTAACTTGTAGATTTTCCAAGCGAGAGCCAGACACTGCCCACTACTGTATCCCCTGACTGCAAGGGACAGGGATGAAGCCCTCCAAGTGGTCTATTGAAATTCCTCTCTCTTGACCTGAAGTAAAAGAAAAGGTACTCTTGGGATAGAGTGGGGCTTCTGGCCCCAGCTCCTCTCTCAAGCTTCATTCCCTCCCTTTTTACAGCCTCCATGTGAGTGAGGGGCTGAAGAGTCAGGTCACCAGAGCTGGATGAATCATTTCATAAGTGCCCAGGGGAACTCATCTCGCCATGTAATTTAGTTTCTGATATTTATTGTGTCATGGAGCTTCATCTGAAATTTTCAGTTTCACTTCTTATTACTTGAATGAATAAAGGACTCAAACGCATTTTTGAGGATCGGTAGGCTGAATTTCCCCACCCCCACCAAGATGTCCACGTTTCTCCACCCATACGTCAGAAAACCCTAAAGGAGTTACTGAACCTTCCCAACCCTTAAAATCAGTAAGCAGGCTCTGGAATCAAACAGATTCCAGATTCTATAGGTGACTTCTGGCTTCTCCTCTTAACGGTTGTGTGATTTTAGATAACTTATCTCACAGCTCTGTGCCTCAGTTTCCACTTCTATAAAATGAGATGGTAATAGTGTGTGCTTGACGTGTTCTACGAAGATTACCTGAGGAGTACGTGGCAAGCACTGGCCTGGTGCCCGCCGAGGGCTTGCTATTGGTTCCTGCTGTGGTGCCGATGGGCCTGCCCTGAGCCTGCCTCTGGAGTGGGCATCAGCAGACCCAGCTCCTCTGGCCCCTCCTTCAGCCCTCTGCACACACAGTGAAGCCAGACGCAGGTTTGAAGGGCTTGTGTAGTGGCAGTTCTAACCCTCGCCACTTTCCTAGGGG